GCAGGCAAGATGGCGAGCCCAGGCCCCAGGTGGCCTCTCCCTTGGTGGAATGGCTGTCCTCAGTGGTCACTCTGCAGTATAGCTGTCCCCTGCACTCGCTGCCCCCCGTGGTGACTGAGTATCACATTTTCCCTCTGTTTTCTATAACATGGAAGGGGAGGAAGCAATCTAATTTCAGGCACATCCCATTTTCCCTAACCAGGACCTTGCTTTAAGTTAGGATAAGAGGACGCTGCATGCCAAATTTGGTGGTCCTAGCAGTTACCATTTAGAAGTTCTTGAACAAACTGACTCGTGGACAGACAGACAGACTCAGACACATGCACAAATGTCAAATATATATTTATACAGGTAAATGGACAGAAGACATAACCAACATTATGCACTTCTCTGGACTTGAATGGGTAGACCGCTGAAGCATGGCAGCCACCTGTGGTTTCAGACTAGACTGTACCAGCTCTGAATTTCTGGAGAGTACTTCAAAGAACTCTGCTTCAGTCTGCAACTCTCAGGAATCCAAATAAAAGCTTGAAAGTCAACATGCTGTATCTTCCCATTGTTTAATCATCAGTGACAGATCAGCAATTTAGAAGCAGTTGTGTACCCAATCTTCCTACAGAACTTACAAGGGAAAGGAAATAATCCAGACCACAGCTAGATGAAAATATGAATTGGAAATGTATGGGGAATTTGGCACACATAAGCTGCTACCCTTTCTGCTCTAAATAAATTAGTATATTGGTACCATTGTACCTCCATCTTGATACAAGAGGAATTGTTATACACCAGGGAGTACTGAGTAAGGTTGGTTTACACTCAAACTTGCACCACATTAATCAATTTGATCAGAAGATTGCACAGACTTACAATGAAACAAAACTGAGTTAGACAGATCAAAATATTCGCTTTTTCAGAATAGAACTAGGGCTGTGTTAGTTTAAATTGTTAATTGTTAAATTGTTACTTTATGCATGATGGATCCGTCAATGGGTATTATCCAGCATGGGTAGGAACGGTGTCCCTACCCTCTGTGAGAAGCTGGGAATGGGCACCAGGGATCACTTGATTACCTGTTCTGTTCATTCCCTCTGGGGGCATCTAGCATTGGCCAGTTGAAAGACAGGATACTGGATAAGATGGACCTTTGGTCCAACTCAGTATGGCCATTATCATGTTCTTAACTGACCTTCACGGTTACAACACAAGGCCCCCAGCCCCATGCTATTGCCTCTATCAAAGGTAGCATCACGGGGTGGGGGTGGAGCAGGCGGGAGCTGGTGCTCACAGGTAGCTGGCTTCCTATGCGTACTGGTTCTCTCAGAACCGCCTCTCCCCCTCCTTCCTATGCTGCTGCCTTTTTATCAGTGGCAGCAGTGCAGGGAGGGGAAAAGAAGGGCAGGCGGCTCTGCAGGAGCTGGTGCTTGCAGGGCACCAGCTTACAAACTAGCTCCCTTCTTGCACCAGCTCCTGCAAAGCTGCCACTTCCCCATTTGTGTAAACCTGTAACCGCTGAAATTTTTAGTAGTTACAGATTTACAAAAAAACCCTCCCACCCCACCACAAACACAACCTTTCAACATCCCTAAATAAAACACTTGATTCCAAAATGAAAATTCAGTGCAAATCTGTGCACATACAATGAAAGATGTGAATTAAAATTGCAAGTTTGTGTGAACAAGCCCTAGACTGGGAAAGTGGAAAAAACAAGTTCTTACAATTGCTGAAATATTTAAACCAGTCTCAAAGATATTAAAACTTGGAAGAATTAACATGTCTAGCCAATGTAAAAAATCTATTTCTGTATCTTATAATATGCCTAGTTAAAATTGGAACACACTACAGATTATTTTTAAGTCAACAAGACTAGTACTTGCCTTGAATCAAGTGCTATAGAAATAGTGGTCAAGAGTAACAATACTCTATACTTGATTTAAAGCTTGCCACTGAACTTCAGAACTCGCTTCTTGCCATACTAAATGCAGTACTTGCAAATATTTTACTAGAATTTTAATTTCAGTAATATGCTGAACATGGTCTCATTTTCTTTTCTAAAAACTGATGCTAGAGAATAGGTATTTGTTTTACCCTGTATTAGCAAATGTACAATAAAAATAGTTTAATGGATTTAAATGTTTTAAGATGCATTAGTAACCAGAGGATGACCACCATAAAGGTGTGTCTACACAGCAGTGTAGCTCAGGGTTGAGCATCAAATCTAGGGTCTCATGACTTTGAAGGGCAGGAGGATCCAAGCGCATGTGAAGCTGGGACAGAATCTGAACCCTACTGCTTTCCTGTGTGCACGAAGCTGAAGTTTGACTTGGGTCCTGGAAATCTTCCAGATGTTATTCCAGAGTTCCTGGGATCAACTCGAGTCCTGACTATGCTGACAATCTGGGGGCTATCTATTGCATTCTGTTAAAAGCATAAGCCATATCTCTCTTTGCAAAAGGTGGCAGCTCAGATCAACATTAGCATGCTTCCAAATAGGGGATATCAGAGAGCCTGGTTCAGTATAAAGTCTCAAACTGCCATCATTCTACTGAGACAGCTACCAAACGTGCTAATTTCACAATCTATGTACTTGTTTGCTCCTTATGGGTATCGGAGTGTCATCAACAGTACTAGAGCCTGACCTGTCCATAGTAGGAATGCTGAATTTCAATTAATTGAGTAGCTCACTATCCTACTACACCTCCGCCTTTGAAATAGACTGAAGCGGTTCCCCACTGTGCCTCCTCCTTTGAGATGTACAAGACCTGCCCAAGGCTCCTGCATATTTCACAGGCATAGTAGTTGGGACTAGAACTATGGGGACTGCTTCAGTCCCTGCTTGAACCTTTTCCCTCACTGTATCTCAGCCTCCTCTCCACCCGTGGAGATGGTGCAGGAGGAAACCGGCTTTTAAGCCAGCTCCCCACAGCACCAGCTCCTGCTCTTCTTCGCCCCTTCCCACAACTGCCTCTCTCTGATAGGAGGCGGGGGGAGGAGGAGAAAGTGACTAGTAGGGATGTTAAAGACTAGTCATCTCCCCCCACTCTTTCTTGCCTCTATGAAACAGAGGCAGCGGGGGGGAGGGGAAGGGTACTTCAAAGTAGCAGTGAGTTTTGAACAGCTAAGTTTCAAAGGGGCAGCTGTGGAGCCCAAGGTCAGCTGGGGACTGCCCAGTTGACTCTGGGCTCCATGCAGCATTTCAGCAGAATCTGGGGTCAGCTGGGGAGTCCCCAGCTGATCCCGGGTTCTGCTGAAATGCCACACACAACCCCTGGGGACTCCTGTACATTTCAAAGCAGGAACCCACCTGCAGCCCGGAATCAGCGGGACTTCCCACTGGCCCCAAGCTGTACCAAGAGTTCCGCATTCCTCCTTTGAAATGTACAAGAGCCCCATTTCAAAGGAGGAATGCGGAAGTGCCTATTGACTAGTCGAGCAGTTGATGGAAATTCCACCCACTACTCAACTAGTCAATTAACCACATTTAACATCCCTAGTGACCAGTCAAGACACTACTCGACCGGGTAAGTATTTGCTTATCAGATAGTCAACTAGTCACATGCATCACGAGTCCATAGGACAGTTTGGGGTATCCCCTTCTCCTCCCCCATGCTTTGCAGGCCTCACAATGGCCGCCACGACTGTCCTATCAGTGGAGCCCAGCAGATTACCTGGGGGCCTGGCACAAGGCGGCAGCAGAGGTTCCCTGCCCACTCACCACAGCGGTGGGAGCCAAAGTAAGCTGGCAGCCTGTTCCACTCTTATGAGCTGCCATCTCCCAGACAGCCGCTCTCCACTTCACTGCAGCAGCAAGAAGTAGAGAACCCCGCCCAGAGCACTCCATTTCCCACTGCCAAGGAGAAGCAGGACACAGCAGGCTGGGAGAAGATCATGGGGTAGAGAGCAGCAAGTTGCCAGGCTGTTACAGCTCCCACCACCGCAGTGAGTGCAGTGGGGAGGGAAGGGTAATCCCTGCTGCCTCCTCACAGCAGACCCCCACGTAATATCCAGCTCGCGTTGCTCAGGGGAAGGGGGCTAAGGAGTGGGGAAGGGCAGGATGGGGCAGAATAGGGGGACAGCTTGAGGGAAGGGGTGAAGCCAAGGTAGGGCCTGCAGCAGAGGAGTTGTCTTGGGTCTCACATCTGGGATCATAGATAGGAAACAGGGTGGGCAGTAGAGTTTTCTTATAGTGCAACATCTTCGTAGGGCCAGAGTGTTGACACTGGAGGGGGGAAAAGCCAGACACTCAGGGATAGGGTTACTCTGACTCATGTCTGTGTACTGCAGTGTGGACACCAGAGTCTTTGGTTTGAGCGCAGTTCAGAAAATCCTTAACCTACGCTCAAGCTTTAACACAAGTCTGCTGACTCGAGTGTCAGTAACACTAAGCTTACATGGGTCAGGTCAACTTGTACACCAAAATAATCGCTGAAGCAGCGCGTATCTATACTAATCTTCTTGGGTCAGGCGTGCATATCACCATCAATAGTACTGAGCAATCTAAGAGGCAGCATGGAGAGCAGAGAGGGTCTCTCAGCAGCTCTGGCAGCTCCCAGCCAAAAGCCTGGCTGCCCACAGGCTGGGAGCAGACTCAGTCAGGATTTCTTCATTTCCCCCTGCCTGCCCACTTCCTGCAGGGAGTTGGACAGCTTTATCAATTTCATAGCCCCAAGGACAGTGAAACTGACAGTTGCCCGGCTCCCCCACTGGCAGCAGAGTCCAAAACTGCCCCAGCTTCTTGCCCTGGCTACTGGCCAGGAGCAGGGTACAAAACCGCCCAGTTCTGCTGGTGAGGAAGGGCTTCTTTTAATTTCATGGCAGGAGTTGTGAAATTGACAAAACAGACTATGTAAGATACAGAATCTACATCTACACTGTCACCCTAAGTACACAGACATAAGCTTTAAACCTCTCAGGGAGCTGAAGTTATGTCAGTATAGTAGGGCACTTACATCAGTGGGAAGAAGTACCGTTGATACTGACATAATTAGACAAGTTAGGATTTATCTATACAGTTTTCTAAAAATATTGTTTGGCTTTTTTTTTATCTTTTTGTTCTATACACTCTCAAGCTTACTCCATTTGTTCTATCATTTACCATTTCAGTGGCAAAACAACATTTTAAAATGCAAAATATAAAGCCTTTACAAGTCAAAGGATTTGCCAAATTGTTCACTGCCATTCTTTGTGACTTCACACAGTAAAACTCAAGGAAATTCATTATGAAAATGCACAGTAAACAGGACTAACAGAAGCCAAATAAATATGTGACTCAATTTACAGCTGTACCTCTTCCTACAGAAGAAAAAGAATCTAGACTTCCAGAAAGACATTCTGTAGTTAAAAGGTGCCGAGATGTTTTCAGGGTAAAATGGGGTCTCTAGGATCTGAGACTAGATAAACTTATAAGAACAAATATATGGTTCTGTTTTGCTGGAAAGGATGTTTGTCAATGTATAATCTTTCAATTCTGTACCACAGCCCTTCTTTTAACACTGCAGTAGTTTATAAACACATACTCTATGCATTACACTGTTCCCTCAGCAAGTTACATTAGGAAAATAATTTGCAATGTGTCACCAAGAATTCCCTTCGAATGCAATTTTTCTGTATTTCTCTCAACTTTTTCCTTCCTCCTCCATGATATCCCCCTTAAAGACTTGTGTCCAAAGTCACTAGGAAAGGAAAGCAATTCACTGAAGCTGAAATAAGAGACAGGAAAGGGAGAAAAGGCTGCGGAGGTAGGAAATCTGACTGGGATAGAAGTCAAACAAGACCTGAACTCAAAATACTCAATTTCTTAATGAAATTCATGATCTGCCATATCCAAATCAAAATACCATTTCAATATGATTATCTGATTGAGCTTCTCTCCCTGAATGTAAACTATCTTGTTACCACTTTTTAAAGAGATGCTATCCTCTGATAGTAAGGTATTTTTCAGAGGGTAGTACAGAGCAATTCTTAGATATGGAGTTTATGGGAACAGATTCATATTTTATACAAGTTAACTCACACTGGTTAGAAAAGAATCATGTGTTTCAAGCACATTCTTTAAATCCAGGATTGATACAATTTCAAACAGTAAAAATATTTGTTTGATGGTTTAAATACAGTGCAAGTATGTGAAGGAAAAAAAGCCATGAGATTAACAAAAACCCCATTTACCCAACAAAGATCTCCTGGGAAATAAAATCCTAGAGGAGAAACAGGAGAGTAAAATTCTCCCCTCCCTCCCACAAATCCCACAATAGAAAACTGTTTTAGAAGCACTTTTTCCAGGGCAGCTGTCTTGGGAGCTTGTGGCAATTTGACATTTAATATGACACTGCACAAAAACCTCTAATATTAGGAACATTTCACTGTATATAAGGTTATCAAGTACACATTCAGGAAGCAGTCAATTACTGAACTAGAGCCAGTAATTATTGTAAGCTACACATTACCATTAATGAACTGAAGTATTTATTTTGACAACAGTAGTAATTACAGCAATTCAAGTGCAGTTTGGGACAACCTTATTTAAAAAGGGATAGTCTGAAAATTCTGTACCCCCTGTTATGTGCCACATAATATTACTATAACTGAAGGAAAATAGAAGGTTTTCAGTTTACTTTATGCATTTGAATATTCTAATGTATTTCTCAATTTCACTATTAACCTGCCTATATTACAGCCTATATTGGAACAGGATACCATACTCAAAGAGGCTCTGGGAGACAGACCCATAGTCTCCTATAGACAACCACCTAACCTCAAGATGATTCTTACCAACCACCACAGGACATACCACACTAATACCAACCCTGGTACCTTCCCTTGCAACAAACCCCGTTGCCAGCTTTGTCCACATATTCATTCTGCTGATACCATTATTGGACCCAACCAAGTGAGTTATAAGATCAAGAACACATATCCCTGCGCATCCAGAAATATAATCTACGCTATCATGTGCCGAAAGTGTCCGTCTGCTATGTACATTGGACAAACATCTCAGACACTTCGCCAAAGGATTAATGCCCACAAAACAGATATCAGACAAGATCACAAAGAGAAAACAGTTTCTTGCCACTTTAACCAGAAAGGACACTCTCTAAATGACTTAGCCACCTGCATTCTGCTACAAAGACCTTTTACATCTGCACTTGAAAGGGAATCCTCTGAACTGTCATTCATGTTAAAATTCGACACTTACCAACAAGGACTTAACAAGTCTTTGAACTTTCTCACCCATTACCAAGACAGTTTCCCCAATTATCACCTGTAATACCATTAACTCACAAACATCCCACTCTCCCTACCTTTAATATCAGCAATTCACAGACACTTACCTTCCTTCCTCCCCCTTCCCACCCCCCCGCATCCCCCTTCTGTTCTGCAATGTGATTTGTCCTTTTCATATTTGTTCATTTTTTTAAATTGTATCCTTTGGTATATATGGTTGTGACTACTTTCTTCCACTATTTGATCTGAGGAAGTGGGTCTGGCCCACGAAAGCTCATCATCTAATAAACCATCTTGTTAGTCTTTAAAGTGCTACATTGTCCTGCATTTTGCTTCAACTATTAACCTGTGCAGCCAGTTAACATGGGGGAAGCTAACTAAAAGAAAAGACCCCTACAATCAAACAGAACAAAGGGGTCGGGAAAGAACTGTTAAAGGTGATGACAAAAAGAAAGATGCTTTCAATTAGCCAAAAGTTTCAGAGGATAGCATCTCTTTAAAAAGTAGTAACAAGATAATTTGCATTCAAGCAGAAGCTCAATCAAATAAGCATAGTGAAATATTAAACTTCCTTCATCTCTAAAAGGACAAATTTATTTTCTTCTAGTCAGCCTTACTAACAGTGAGTGGTCTATTAATACCCTGAACCACTCTACTGAACAGGTAGGAGGAGCTGAATTGTTTTACACCCCATGCAATAGGATAAATCTGTTCAGTGAGACTTTTTTGCCAAAAAATGCAATGGAGCATTTCCTATTAGCTTCTTCCACCTCCCTCATGTTTCATTATATTTTAAATGACCACTCTAAACCCATACAATTAAGGGGTATCTTTTCCCTACCTTGACTTCCCTCAATGGTTGCTTTGCACCCTTCTGGGCTTTTCCTACTGCTTTCTAGGGTAGAATGAGTTGTCCACACTTTCAACATCAAGCGTCTTCCTCATTCCAGGGGAGCTGACACTCATGGCAGTACCTAGTATTTCCCAACTGCCAGCAGAGTCTTTGCCCATATTTCCTAGCTGTACTAGGGAATCACTGCTCCTAGCAGATGTGGGGCCCTGCTTTCATAACACATGTTATCGACACATTTTAACACCGCAACAACACTGCATACAACAGGTTACTGTAACTGCTTTTCTTTTCAAGTTTCAACCTTCTGTTCTGTTTGGGTTGTCTGGACCCTAATTACCACAAAAACACCATGGAAATGACAGCTGACAAACTGTCTTTAAAGTTACTAATTTGTTGTTCTACAATTGCTGGAAGAGCAACTTACTTCTGTTCAGGTGGTTGGTTAAGTGTGTACATTACCATTTTTCATTATTTTTTACTTCGCTTACCTATTTTTTTTTAATAAAAGGTGGCAACCTTACCCCAAGGTCCACTGGTAGGAGACAATTTTTTGTGCATTCAAACAGGTCTATAGAGCAGGGGACTATTAGAAATTATTATTACGCTGCAGTTAATCGGAGATACTAATGACTGGCCTTGCAAACTGTGTCATTCTATAAATATCCTCAAGATAAACAGACTGGATTCATTAGGGTTCCAGTTTTCCAAATGCAAATTAAAAATCTTAAGCATGTGGGTGACATCCTTTCCACCAATGTGGAGTGCAAAGCAGCTTTTCTTTGATGGTTTAATGCTGGTTTCTACAAGCCATGCACTGCATACTGTACTGCACTTATTCTAATTGAGAAGAATTTCAAAAAAGAAGACTCAAAAGAAAAACAATGTTGGCACGTCTAATGTGTGTGCATATTTATTATTTTGCACTACTTTAAATTAAGTCAAGGATATTTGGGAACAGATGGGGTAGCGGGATCAGTTTTCTAGGAATGCACATCACAGGCAGCATTAAGGAAAATTGAAGCAGAAGATTGGCTGTTATGTGGTATTTCTGTTTTAAGTTAGGAATGTAAGAGTTTAACCAGTTAACCGATAAGCTAATGCTCATCTGTTCCAGTTAACGGTTAAGCTCCCATATGGCAAGCAGCCCACAGGGCCCATTTAACTGATGGAATTGTGATTGGTTACTTGGTTAGCATCTAACCATTTTTACATCCCTATTTTAAAGTTACACACAGCTCAGGCTAACTTCTGTTCTCGGTATATATTCTGTATACTGGGTCAGTGCACAGAACGTACTGATAAATAGTTTGACATGCAGCTCATTTACTGGCCCACATCCTCCTGCTTATGAAAGCAGGAGATTCAGAAAGCAAGTACATTTTGCATTAAGCTACTTTTCAACCTAATATGAAACAGAGCTAGGAGTGTATCTATCTGGTTAAATTATGAATTCCAGGATTTTTAAGTCTGTTAAAAATTGAGTGGTTTGAGTAGGAAGATGGTGGGACACAGCTGTTTTTTCCCCTGAACACATTATGCTTTTACCAAAAAAAATATTTGTACTCTGTATTTCAGATTGTAAAAGATATTCTAACCTTGTGCAAAAGTAGATTTTTTTATTAAAAGGGAAACTAATTCGGAGGTTGACTTAATAGTTGAGCAGCAGTGATCTCTTTTTGCTATGGAAGAAATCTGAGATCCAGCCTGACAAACTGCCTTGTTCCCATGTTCTGGGACAGAAGGGGTAGCATTGGTAGGGATTGTGGTCTGGTCTTAGGAAGTAAGGGGCCGGCTGAAGATGCAAGAGGGGCCAATGGGCTACCAGAATGAGAGCAATAGGGCTTAGGGGAGATGAACAGGGGGCTTAGGGACAAGATGGGGTACATGAATTTCTGAAGGGGAGCACAGCAAAAAGAGTCTGGGAACTTCTGACCTAGAACAACAGGGCATGATCTGAAGCCTTATGTTTAAATCAGACAACACTAACATCCAACTACTAACCTAACTCTTACGCAGGAAAACAAATGGTAGTGTGAGATAAAAGACCACTACATTCTACTGGACTTAAGGGAACCTAGATATGAGGATTTAAAAATTCTTAGAGACTGTAGATTATTTTGAATAGCACAATCTCACAAACCTTGTTAGTAGATTAAAATTTGCTGTTATTTACCAGATAAAATATTTCATCTGAAAGTCACACAATGCAATTTGTTAAGCAAAGCTAAGGCATGCTTGCATCGAACAGTGAAAACACTGTTGAAGGAAAAAAATAGGTGCTAGCTATTTCTAGTTGAGTTATATACCACATTCATTTCAATCCTTTGCTCAGCTACAAAGCAAGAGACAGATTTTTGTCTAATTTACTCAGTGTAACACCTCTCTTCCCCTCTGGACATTTAATTAACACTTGCATCCAGAACTATTACATCATTAAGAAGGCATCTGTGAAATACTGCTTTATAATTAAATTCTAGAAATGAGAACATGGGAGGGGGGAACCAGAGGGGGAAAGAGGAAAGGAACAGGAAAGGCCGAAGTGTAGAGAAAGCATTCTAAAACCAGTCACATCCGATAAAGGATATTTGATCAGTTGGGCACCAGTCTCTCTCAAGCTATTTCAGGCCCCTGAAAATGTGGCTACCTATGCAAGAATCCAAATAATCCTTTGTGCCTATCACTAGTATAGTGCTCTAGATAGCTAACTGGAACAGACCTTGTCAAGAAGTACTTTTTTAAATAGTGTAAAAAGACAACTGATAGGCTGCATAGAGCAAGAGCATGAAAACAGAAATAAGAAACTTCTCTCAATAGGTAACTATATTGTAACAGAAGAGTACAACTACAGACTGAAGTCATCACTCTAAAAATAATGACTTGTTCAATGTGTAGTCCTGTCAAATCTTTTGCTTTCAGAAGGTAACACCCACTTAACAAGCTCACCTGTCAACTTTCCCATTCCCTTCTCCCAAAATAACTTCTGACCAAACTGAAATGCTCCAACTCTCATGGAAGTCTTTATGTAACACTTCAATCTCATACTGTTAACTGTGATGCATACATGTATTTCAGGGATGGCCAAATTTACAGGCCCTCCAAGTTGCCGACTACAGCCATCAGAAATTTGAAAGCTTGTCAGCATTTGCGTTTCCAGCCCAGCAGGGAAGGTGAGCCGTGGGGCTTTAGCCCCGTTTCCCGCTGAAGTCCTGAGCCCCAGCAGATGCTCAGCATTGTTCTGAAGCCCCAAAACTCTACTTCCTCGTGGACTGAAGCCAGAGGCGATGTGTGAGGGGACACATGAGAGCCTGGTCCTTCCCCCTTTCTCCCCCACCAGACGCTCATCCTGCTCATTCACATGGCTCCATAGGCAGACGTCTATAGGATGGTGCATAAAGAGTAAATAAAGGAAGAAAATTGAGGCCCAAGGGTGGGGGAGGGGGAGGGGAGAGAGAGTTGGTAGTGCTAGTAAACATGCTTTATCCTTTATCAGATAGGTGGGGAAATGTGACTGTCTGCTTCACTCCCTCTTACTAGCACCATTATACAAGGCACTGTTCAGACCTCATCTAGAATACTGTGTGTAACTCTGGTCTCCCATGTTTAAGATAGCTCAATTCAAGGAAATAGGTGCAAAGCAATGGAAACACCACCTTGTGAATGGATACTCAAAGAACGTAGCTTGTTTAGCCTAACCAAAAGAAAGCTATAGGGAGATAGGATTGCTCTTTATATGTGTGTATGTATAAAGAGAGAAATCAGGGGGGGAAAGAAGTTGTTTAGGTTAAATGCTATTACAGTAAACTTCCGATAATCCGGCACGTTTAGGACCCGGGGGTGCCAGATTATCAGATATGCCGGACTATCGGAAGGGGGGGGCTATGAGAGGTCTGGGGTGGGGTGGGGGGGATGCCTCCCCAGACCCCTTCTGCCCCCCCCTTCCGATAGTCCGGCTCTGCCCCAGGCGTCCCGATTCAGCCGCTGGTGGGGC